CCTTTGTGTTTCATCCATTGCCCCCTCGTGCCCCCTTCATTCACCCCTTGTGTTTCATCCATTGCCTTAGCTGCAGACGTGACATCGATGCGGGGTGTCATCATTTGGGGAGAGGTGGAGAGGCGGACATTCAGGGCTTACCTCTGAGCTTCGGAAGAAGCTGAACAGTTGAAGAGTTGAAGAGTTGAAGACCCTGACCTCGCAAACCAGGTCTTTTCTTGGGGAACCGCTCTCCGCACTTGGAGGACTGTTGGCTTGACATGGAGTGGCGCCATCTTGGATGTCTTAGCAACCTCACGTCCCATTCTAATGTAGGCTTTTGATGAACGAGCCCCCCCTATGCCAGGGATTCTGGGACTGGATTGGTCAACATTCTCACGGTCAACAGCTGTTTGTAGAATTGCCAATTGCCATGTCAAATTCCGTTCCCCGTGCCGCCGACTGGAGCCGATCCAACACAACCGATCAAAGTCGTGACGGGACTGCCCGACGGAGGCAGCAGCAGACCGTTCCCGCGTCTCCGTTGCACCAAAACGTTCAATGAGAAACTATAGAGCTGGCACGTGTTGAGCTCTCTTACTTTTTGTATTTTTGCGTCTCTCTCTCTCTCTGACTGACTCTCTCTCTCTCTCTCTGACTCTCTCTCTCTCTCTACACACACACACACATACACACCAGAACCGATTGTTGGGGAAGTGGTGGGCTCCAGACTCCGCATGGGCCTGTGCCCATCTCGTTGCGGTGCCTACTGTCTGTGTCTCTGTCTTTGGTCCGCGCTGCAGGTGCAGCGCTTGCGTGACGACGTGGGCGGGGAACTCGGAGGGAATGGTTTCTCACTGCGCGGGACTTGAGACCTCGCTGGAACCGCGCGAGACTTGCGTGGCTGGCTGCTGTTTGGGGTGTGAAAAAGAACACCGGCTGCCGCTTGAGCGACTGGGTTTGGCAATGTTTGGCATTGTGTTTTCCGTTTCAGGTTCTGATGCTTGGAAGAAGTGTGAAGAGCTGGACCGCAGGAGCCGCGGGGGCCTGTGGGATCGGATTCAGGAAGGAGAAGTGTCAGGATATCAGGCTTTAATCCACCGAACTCGGGGACATCTTGTGATTTCTACCGGTGTTTCTGTATGTCGATAATGCGGGACATGATCCTTGGTGTGTCTGTGAGATCTTCAAAAAGTGATGCCCCCTGTTTGTTCGAAGACCACCTCTACACATTCCATGTAACATCTCCGAGCTTTTCTTAACTTCGGAACCAATTGAATGGAATGGAGAAATACCATAACGAATGGTATTGATTCCAATGGAATGGATGAGGATGAACCAATTGAATCCAATTCCACCGGGAGAGACCCCGGGGTCGACGGCTCGCCCGGCGCCTGGAGGATGGCGGAGTACCAACAGCACCAGAATATCGAAGCAGCTGCGTTGCGCAACCGCCTGGAGGCGAGTGGAGGGTGGAGGAGGGTGGGGAGGAGAAGTGGGAGTAGAAGTTTCTACTTCCTAAGGTTGTTGCTAGGTATTAGATAATTACATCAGTTGGGGGGGTAGAGATGACCCAGCTGGGTTTGAGAGACAGGGTGTCCATTGGGTGATGTTCCCATTATACATGTTCACCATGGAGTTACACCACTCAATCACGAACACATCACATATGGATGGAAGTGGATGGCATGGTGATTCCTTGGAAGACACCAGGGGTGCCATCCTTTCATCCATTCAGACCCACCGGGTGCCATCCATTCATCCACGCTTCATCTACAGCAGTGGGCAGCCAAACAGCGCCGTCACGCCGGGAGGCCGCGGTGAGGGAGGTGGATCGTCACACCGCTGCAGCTGACGCGCTGCCTGGCCCGGTGGAGACGGCAACGGGACGAAAACGGCGGGACTTCGGTGGAAACGGGTGAAACAAGAGGAAGGAGTGGCGATCTGGATGCGTTTGGGTGGAAGTGAAGGTGTGGAAAGTCAATGCATTCGCAATTAACAGTTTTGAACGTAATTATGTAGTGGAAAGTAGTGGAAGCAGCTATTGGAAGTCCAAGATCCAAGTCTTGAAAGGAATCCGGAGGACTCTCGGACCTGCATTCTGCAATGCCACGTGTGGCACATCAAGATACATCGATGTAGACTGTAGGCTGATTTGGGGATCAAGGTGTGGAAGCTCATCATTAGACATTGCACGCGCATGCACGCGCATGCATGCGCAAAGAGGTGACAAATACATCCCTGCTATAGATCCGACATTTGTTCTTGACTTTCGTATCTCGTGCTGCTGAGTATCTCATTGGTCTTGTGCCCTTTTTGTGTTGGTTTCCTCCTTTGACTTCTCCTCAGGGGCCCCAGCTGGAATCAGGCTACTCAAACAGCGCCACTTCCTGTCTACAGACCCACTTTGGAATTCCGGACATGATCGCTTGAAAAGGAGCGGAAAAACAACACAAAACATCAAGAGGCGGACCAGAGCTTTGCAGTAGATAAAAGGTCAATCACCCACCCTTGGGGCTACAGTTCTCCGCCACCCACTTTATTCATCTTTGTCCTGTGAAAGTCAATGAACATCATAGGAGGGTAGGCTGACTGCAAGAGCCAACAGACAGACTGACAGTGACATAATCAGATTCTCTTAGATTTGAGGGGCCATTTCCACATGGTGGACTTGCCACTTCCCTATACTTGCAGATGCTCCATGATCTGCCATTATTCTCAATGCAACGTAACTCGAGATATTCTTGAGTTAGGTCAATCAAAAAAATAATGATGAATCATTGTCAGAATCTAGTCTGGGAGGTTTATTCATGTATATTCAGATACTGTAACTCGGTATTCTGACATTCATCATCATTCTCAAAAGTTTTAGGCGGATTTGGAGCATTCCTTGCCAAGCGTGTCGACCCCCACGTCCGACTGCCTTGGTTACCAGTACTGAGGCTTCAGCGAAGGCGCTGGGGAAAATGTGTTCACCGTTTGCGCGCATTGGAGTTGTTTGCTCCGAGAAGCAGTCACGACTGTGAGTCAAAGGTACCTCACTTGTGAGTCACAGCGACTGGTCCACAGAAGATCAAACGCGATACTATTTCACACATACAGGCTTCACTTGGTGAGATCTTTCACTACCCAGGTCTTTCTGGACCCTTCTTGTGAGTAAAAGGTATCTAACTAGAAGATCTACTGGTCCCAGCACTGAAAACATCTAGGCTTCGGCTTCACCGGAGGAAAGGACCAGAAGCGCTTGGTAACTCTCGACATTGACTTCTTCACAGCGCTGGGTGTGTAGCTCAAATAGGGAGACGTCCCAGGCAACGACCCTCTGGAACAAAGAGCATCGATGAAAAACTATGCAGATAGACCAGTCTATCCAAGTCTACCCAGGGAGGCGATTGGGGGTCTCCCTCTGAAATTGGACATGCATTTACAGCTTCAACATGCAAGGTGTGAAGACTTGGAGAGCCGTCTGCAGAAGCCGGAGGTCTGGGGGCTGGGCTGCGGTTCTTGGGGTCGAGCCCTGAACCAGGAAGAAGAAGACGTCGGTTGAACAAGTCTTCCTGACTAAAAGCATAATCCAGGACCACGGAAGGGGTGGTTATTGGACGGAAAATACATAGTCAGGGGTGTCCATAAACCACCCTTTCCGTGGTCCTGGATTGTGTTGTCCATGTATCTACTTGTACCTGGTGCCTTTTTGTGACCTCTATAGGGTCAACCAACAACCACCAAAAATAGGGTCAAAAACAGAGGTCACAAAAAGGCTCTAGGTATGGACATCTATATGGACATGGTTCCCCTGTAGCATGCTTGGAAGATGAGGACCTTCGACCGAGGCCATGGTTCCACCTTCTCCCTTCAACAAAGGTTGGATTCTACGGATTCGGGGGAAAGGCGGTGAGGTGAACTTTCAAACAGTTGTTCTGGAACAGCATGGTCGGCATGGGTCAACATGCTGGTGTTTCTGCACCCCGTGGCAATCCTTGGACTCCTGATCTATTGCTTTACCCTACAGGTATGAAATCCCATGAAATCCCCAAATCCAGCAGGTTTGAACCTCCTGTGCAGCCCCACATGGGGTGCAAGGGTCTTGGTTTCGTCGAACTACATCGGCGGGCGTCTTGGGCGGTTCCACCCGGGCCATGGTTGGTAAAGCTTTGGACGAAGCGCACGACGCACCAAACGCGGCGCAGGAGGAGTTCAAAGGCCCTATGGGTTCCGTTTCTTCCCAGGACCCATTCGCTGGGATTTGGGGAGGCCGTATCAGCGGCAGCTGGAAGACATCTTGGGAGCGTGGAGTCGCTGCTACCACTTAGACTAAAGTGCTTGGAGTCCCTGCACCACAGGGTTGTGTTGAAACTCGCCATTTCAGATAGGCTTTTCGATTCGATGTGCTTGTTTCAGGATCTACATACCTCAAATCCAGTTGAAAAGGGCCGATTCTTGAACTTCAGTGCACTGATCCTGTTCGCCTCAGAAGACGTTCATTGCAGCGATGAGCTTTGTTGCGGACACCAGGGGAAGCAGCGGCTTCAGTCTTTGGAACCAGAGGTTCCCAACTGTACAGTGCATTGCTCTTAAAATTTCTTAAGTGTATGCTTGCATGTGATTATGGAGGTTGCTGACTATTTCAGTTCTGCAAGGCTGACTTAGAAGCATCGTCTGCATCACATTTGCGTGACCGCACTGATATCGGCATTATCCGATTCTGCTGAAAGCACTTGGAGAGATGTGAAGACATCGGGCACTCTTGGACTTTCACCTCTGACTTCAACCACTTCGATGCTTGCAGTTCCCTCAAATTCTCACATGGATCCTGGAAGTGTCACTCCCACCACACTTGTACGACCATGTTTTCCCACACTCCCGATTTTTCTCAGCCTTTCTTCGCGGTGAGGACTCCACCATCATCCGCACGGAACTGCAGAAGGAGCCGAGAACACCTCGCGTCCCACGAGCCCGCCGATCGTTCGTTTCGTTGTGGCTTCCACGGACGGCGCCGCATGACACGGTGTCGGTGGCAGAAACGATTAGGCAGAAACTGAGGTCCAACACGGAGGGGGAACAGGCAGAAACATGCAGAACGCATGTTTCCAATATGTTTTATGTGTTTGTTGTTTCCAGCAACCAGCTATGGTCATGGTGGGTCAGAGGACTGGGGAAGATGCAAAGATTTTGTTTGACACACCCCTCTTATACCAGTTACATCCAGTTACCAGTAAAAGCCTAGAGCTAAGGGGCTTGTGGTTGCTGCATGTATAGTCACAAGTCTTGTGAAAGACTTGAGCTCCAATATGTATGTTTTGTGTTTTTCCGCACTAACTAGTGATTCTCAGTGGCTAGGTGGCTAGGTCCGGATGACAGCCGCTTGCAGATTCAGGCCTGTCACCTCCAAGGCACCAATTGGGCAAATTTTTCTGACTCGACTCCATGGTCTGAGATTCCTTCAGAAATCGATTGAAAGGCACTCCACACAAAGACGTGGCCACCGGGAAAACCATAATGAAGACCATGTTCCCTTTTGTTAAATGTATTCTATGTAACTCCCATGATATAGTAATTCCATGTAATTCCCCAGGGAGTGTATGGATTGTAAAACTTCCCAAGAACTTCCCAGGACCTGCGTGAAACGTCCTCGTTCACCCCTACAGCTGCACCATGATCCTCACCGCAAATCCTTCTCCAAGTCCCATCCATGCAGCGGAATTGGTCGGGGTGGAAGATTGCCGTGACCACACTTTGTGTTTGGACGCCGGTTTTCCCGCCCAAAATCCAATCAGGCCAGGGGTGGTTGACGGTTCGGCATATTCATATGTCCCATCGCTCGGGTGTGTGGGCGACCAATCTTGTGCTTCGCAACAGCTCCGTTGCACAGCGAGCCGAGCCGTTGGAGGAGATTACAGCTCTTCGCGGCGAGCCGCTCAGCACCCAAAAGCCACAGTTTGGGTTTGGGACATTGGTGTTTGTTGGGTCGTACTCGTTGGGTGTTGGGCGTCCTGTGACGGCCAAAACGACGACACGATCCAGTGAGGATGTATAGGGAAGCCAATTACACATGTCCCATTTAGCAGCTGAGAAATCTTCCTGTGCATCTTCTGGATTCGCAGGGTATGCTCTGTCACTGCGTTCCTGACTCATGGGCTTTTTGCTTGCTTTGACGAACACATCACACATCCATAGAAAGTTTGGGAAACCCCGTCCAGCGGTCTCCCGGATCGTGCAGGATGGAGACATGTGCCAATCGTGGGACGACATAAGCACGTTCTCATGGAGTGGTTTGACCCCCAACAAAAAGGGGTTGTGGAGGTCATTTCCTCGCACAAGAAGCAGACGCACGTGCGTCAACTCTGCACATCCACAGACCAATTACCAAAATCCACCGCTGGGTGTGGCGACATCTCGCCAGGATGGAGAAGCGCGCCTCTCAGCAGCTGACCCAAGTGGAGGCAAAAGGGATCAAAAGGGCCGGATGCGCATGGGAAAGCGTTCTGAAGGTCCTGAAGTACCAAGTTTGTCCTAAGCATGTGTACCTCCTAATCCAGGCAAAGAAGCTTGATGGACCTTGATGGCTAGCTTTTGGATGCGGTGAAGCTTTCAACACTCCTAACTGCGTGCGAGGGGTCCGACGCCGGCCCTCGTTGGGATACTTGGTGGAGCACCTGCCTTGGGTGGGCCCTCCGTTGGGATGAAGCATCTGCACCGCAGCCTTGCCGAGCCTCCTCGAGCCTCGAAGCCTTTTTGGAACTTGGAAGGAGGGATTCAAAGATCCATCCTCCAGAGTGGAGGTGCTGAGAGTCTCAGTCCTCAACATAATTATCATAATTGGGGGGTGCTCATTTCAGCACCCCATTGATACTGCAAGGGTTGATTGTTCAGGAAGGAATGCACACATCTTCAACTCCTCGAACTTTATACGATCTTTCCAAAATGCAGACGATGCTTAGTGCTAAGGACAGGCTCCTTGGCATCACCAACGCATAAAAGCTGCATGATGGGTGGGTCATGCTGGAATCGCGCTGGTTCATCGCCCTAGAATGGGTTGGCTCGTTTTCCTCATCCAGGCAATCTGACCCAGGGGAACCTCATGGAATCCAAACTTTTTCTAAGCGCATGCAGACACATGTCATGTGATGTTGAGCCTTCCATGTCGACGAGGGATGGTGAGAAAGAGATATATATATATATATGGTTAAATGCCCCCATAACTAAACACGAATCAGTATTGGTTTCCACGTAGCATTGGGCTCGAAGCTGTTTGATGCCCGTGTGCGGTGGTTGCCGCAAGTGGCAGTTGTTAGGTGAAGACTGTCCTGTGTGCCAATCACAGAGACGGATCGCGGCTGCCATAGCAGCTGAGTGGCTTCCTGCGACCCTTGAAGCCTTTGCCAAGGTCACGAAAATCCTGGACTCCGCCTTCTACTCCATCACTCGCTTGGTGCCGGACGAGGAGAGCCCACGGAAGGGAGTGAGTGCTCCCAAGAAGAAGGCGGCAGAGGATCGAGCAAGGGGAGATAGTTCTCCCAGGGCAGGAGGAGGGTCAGGAGCCCAGAAAGCTGAGGAGAGAAAAGGAGAGGGGTTAAAGGAGGAGGCAGAGAAGAGAAAGGTCAGCGAAAAAGAAGAAAAGAAAGAGCCTGTCGAAGCAACAAAGAGTGAAGGAAGTAAAGGTTTGCCAAGGAAGAAAGTTGAGGAGGAGCAGAAAAGGGCTAGGAGCCGCACACCTCAGAGGCAAAGGGAGAAGGACAAGAGAAGAAAGCGTGATAGCAAGTCCAGGTCAGTGAGCGGATCAAGAACTAGGCGGAAGAAACGGGAGGATCATTCTCCCAGAGCAGGTGAGAGTAGGGGAGAGGAGAGCTCCGTACGGGCTAGCAGTGGTATTGAGAGGGAAGCCTTTCTTCGTCCACGGCCAAGTCAACGAGCTCCCAAGTCACCTCGTACACCTGATCATCCACCGCCTCGAGAGACGTTGATCCCGCCGGCTGCAGGTCGAGACAAGCTTCCCGGCAGTGGGTGGCGAGGCCCAGTTCCTTATTCAAACCATCCCAGGTGGAGTGAAGGGACCAACAAGGGTGTGACCAAACGTGCCAAGCAGGAGCTCTACGACCGGAAAAACTATCGCAGCAGGTGGTGAGGGGAGTCATGGCTCCCAAACTTCGAAGACCGGCAGCAGCGCCGTCTCGAGTGGGCCGAATGAGGAGGCCAGCTCGGGCAGCAGCTGAGGAGGAGAGAGAGGAGGAAAGACCTGATGAAGAGGCTGGAGATTGTGGAGTTGGGAGAGACTTCATACTATGGAGCGCATGCCAAAGTGGCTGGAAGGATTCGGAGCATCAGGCCATCAGAAGAGGAGGTAGAGTTTGAGTTGAGTGGGACGCTCACGGACAGAATCCTAGAGAGGTTTGGGGGCAGTAGTTCACGGACAGTGAAAGTTCATGCCTGTCCCGCAGGGTGCCCCCAGCTGACAACCGGTGACGCCTACTTCCACGCCAGGGGGTATTGGGATACAACCGTGGCTCCCAAACCTTGGCACACCAATCTACTTCCCGCCAAAGGCACTGAGGGAGGCGAGATCGATGAGCTGGCGGGACTTCGTGAACTGGCTGCAGAACGAGGAAAGGGGAGGGGAGGTGATAAACCTCCCAAGCCAGAGAAGGAGAAGGACAAAAGCAAGTCGCCGGCAAGAGGCTCAGGAGCAAAGGAGAAAAAGAAGAAAAAGAAGGAGAGGACAGCAGAGAAGGAATATGAGGAGTTGCTGGTGAAGAGGGAGGAGGAAGAAGAGCTTGAGAGAGGCCAGAAGACCGCTCGAGCCCTCTTCAGCAACACCTGCTTGGATCCCAACGTACCCCGGCGGAAGAGACTCATGAAGAAGGCCAGGAGGGTTAGCAAAAAGAAAGACAAGAAGAGGAAGAGGTCAGAGTCGACAGATTCAGGTTCCTCGTCGTCGTCTTCCAGTGAGGCTGAGAAGGGGTCGGAGGAGGATGGACCTCTTTTCGATGAAACCCGCCGGGTGCGAAGACTGAGCGAGAGGTGCCCCGGGGCATTGACCGCCCAGGCGATTGAAAACGTGCGGGAACACCTCTTGTCCTCGCGGGGCGAACTACACAGTGTGTCCCGTGACCAGCTGAGCCCCCTCTTCAGCATGTACGCGCACCAGCACTTACAGGCTCTTGCTAGTCCGGTGCTATGGCAAGAATTGTTGACGGTTGCTCAGGTCACGGACTTGCTGTTGCGCCGGAAGGTGGCGAATGCGCTTGATGTGCTCGTCCAACGAGCGAAGTCGCTAGAGACGACCCTCCGGGGTGGGCAGTGGGCACTATTCGGTTTCGCGTCAGCTGGAGTTGGTGAACGCCGAGCAAGTCCGAATCGCAGAGCCCGCCGAGCAGGTGGAAGCAGCAAGGAGCGCGAGGGACGAATTTCGAAATCGTTCCATCGGAAATTGACCTCATGGCATGGCGCAGCGAGGAGAAGGAGAGCAACAGCCCAAAGGAAAAGGAAAGCCTGCACCCACTTCAGATCCCTCTTACAAGCAGAAAGGAGGAGAGAAAGGGAAGAATAATTAGAGATAAAGGAAAATGGGGAAGAAAAAGCAAGGACGACAATTGAAGAGAGGAGCTGAGGTGGAGAATGCAGGCATGGGAAGCAAAGAGAGGAAGAGAGAAGGGCTGAGAGAAGAGGAGTCAATGAAAAGTCAAAGGAGGGGTATGAAGGCAAATGAGGATGAAGAGAGAATCGACAGGGCAATAGAGGAGATGCTGACAGAGTGTCACCAGAGGGCGCTTGAGGACTATGTCGAGCCAATTGACTATGACCTTGGGGGCGACTTGGAGGTTCGAAAAAGGATGCCAACTTCGCCGGGCCAGGGAGGGGAGAAGAAGAGTATCTCCCAGGCAGTTGAGAGGAGTAAGCAATCTGCAGGTATGGACCGCGGACAGCGCCGATCTTCTGGGGAGGAGCTTTTGAAGAGGAGCACAGGGGAGGTTTGGAGATCCTCCCATTTTGCATGTGGGCACCCTTCGCGACTGGATTTAGAGCCGTGCCGTGGAGGAGCGCCATTGACGGAGCAGAGCGGCAGCACATCGTGGCGGATGATCTTGCGACACGCTTGTGGCGAAAAAGAAAGCAGTTGGAAAGATATGGGTCCGGCACTGTCTCAAACCTTGGAAGTGTTAGCCAACACCACGCGTTGCGGGCAGTCCACGGAGGGAATCTTTCCCCTCCCGCTTCCGGGGGCTTTGGGGTGGTGTGATGAGGAGGACTCAGTGTTGGAGGCTCTGGTCAGAGGATTGAACAGTCTCTATGGAGTGGGGTCAGCTTGGGGACGAAAGGTCACAAAGGTGCAGAGAAGGGTCTTAGAGAGGTTGAGGACGGTGGTTAACACCATGCAGTGGACTATCTCGGGTCGTGCTCCCTCCTATCTCCTTCCAAGAGTTCTTTAGAACCAAAGGCATTGATTATTCTGGGGAAGAAGTCCGAGTGGCCAGGGCTTTTCAGTGGAAGATGGTGGCTGCGGCCTTCCCCGAAGGTGTAGGTTCTCTCGATCTTGTGGGTTTCTGTGACGGCGGCACTCGTTCGTACGTGGAGGAGTTCGAACAGTTTCTTCTTCCGCCTCAGGATCAGCGCCTGGGAAAGACCCCCGCGGTCATGGTCAGCCAAGAGCACTGGGCCGAGGTGTGCCGGGGCCTGATTGAGCGGGGGGTCTGCGGGCTCATGAAGGAGACCGGTTCTAAACGGACTGTTTGCAGTGGAGAAGGGAGAGAAGGCTGTAGACGAGAAGGGTGAGGAGTTTGAGATCTGTAGGCTGATCATGAACTTAGTACCAACCAACGGACTATGCCGAAACTTAGTAGGAGACACTTGCACACTACCTACGGTCACTGGGCTGTCGGGAACAGTTCTTGAAGATGGTGAACTGCTCCTGACATCGTCCGAAGATGTACGGTGTTTCTTTTACTTGTTCCGGACACCACCGTGCTGGCATCGCTTCATGGGGTTTGGAAGGGAGGTCCCTCCAGAGAGCCTCCCAGATGGTTATTCCGGCAAAGGGTGGCATTTGGTAAGCAGAGTGCTGCCCATGGGGTTTGTGAACTCGGTGGCCATAGCTCAGCGTGTCCATCGCCGAGTGATTCAACAAGCCTTAGGAAGTGAAAGCGCTTGGCCGGACGGGACCAGGAGATCCGCAGGGATCGGCAGCAGAGCTTTGCTCCTCACCAGTACAGGGTCTACCTCGACAACTATGACGAGTTGAACCGAGTTGATAGGAAGTTGGCAGAAACCTTGCAGGGAACCCCTTCTGCGTGGACCTTGGCAGTGCGAGAGACATATCAGCAGCTTGGTTTGCCCCGTCACCCTAAGAAGGCTGTGACACAGGAGGTCCAGGCAGAGGTGCAAGGAGCTTGGGTGGATGGTGATCTTGGGCGAGCCTCTCCGAAGCAGGATAAGGTAGGAAGGTATGTGAGGCTGGCCATAGAGGTCTGCGTCGCGGGCAAGGCATCACAGCGAGAACTGCAGGTAGTTGGAGGAGGCTTTGTGTACATTGCGATGTTCCGGAGGCCCTTGTTGTCAGGATTGAATGCAGTGTGGCGCCAGGTCACTGAATTGAGCGTGCTGGGTCCTTTGGTCCGGAGACCGCTACCTGTTGATGTGGCCCTTGAGTTGCTTCGTTTTGTGACCCTGTGTCCGCTGGCCTACATGGACTTCCGCCTGACGACCTCGGAGTTGGTGACTGCAAGTGATGCCTCCACTACAGGAGGGGGATTGTGTGTCACGAGAGAACTTAGCCCATTTGGAGTGGCAGCGTGTCAAGCCGAATCTCGAGGAGACGCTCTTGAACCTGAAGAGATGGATCAGGTGCTTGTGGTGTCCTTGTTTGACGGGATAGGTGCCCTCAGGGTGGCCCTTGATGCATTGCGTGTACCAGTAGGAGGCTACATCTCCGTTGAGATCTCGCCAGAAGCAAATCGAGTTGTTGAGTCGTTCTTCCCGGACGTTGTTTGTGTGAAAGATGTCGCGGACGTCACGGAGGAGCGCGTGTTGGAGTGGAGGATGAGATTTGCCAATGTAGGCCTTGTGCTGCTTGGCGCGGGTCCCCCGTGTCAGGGAGTTTCAGGTCTTAACTCCGATAGGAAGGGGGCGTTGAGAGATGAGAGGTCCAGCTTGTTTCAGCACATACCCCGAGTTGAAGCGTTGCTCAAGACATACTTCAAGTGGTGCCCCGTCCACCGCTTAGTTGAGAACGTGGCATCGATGGATGCTCAGGACTGCGTGGCGATGTCCGAGGCCTACGGGGAGGCCCCATGGAGCATTGACGCAGGAGGAGTCAGCCTTGCCCGACGGCCGCGTTTGTATTGGTGCACTTGGGAGCCTTTGAGCCTAGAAGGAGTGAAGGTCTTGGAGGGGAGAGAGGAAAATCTCCCAGTCAGAGGAAAAGTAGAGTTGAAGGTAGACCTTGATGAACAGGACTTTTTGGAACCTGGTTGGACGCGTGCGAAGCCAGACAAACCGTTCCCGACCTTCACAACCTCTCGTCCCTCGGTTGCGCCGGGGCGCAGACCTGCAGGCTTGGCCCTTTGTCCCGCCGATGCAGTTGCCCGGTGGAAGGTGGATCGACATAGGTTTCCACCGTACCAGTATCGCGTGGAGAACTGCGTCACCAATCGCCAGGAACAAGTTCGTGTCCCTTCGGTCAACGAAAGAGAAGTGATCCTTGGTTTCCCTTTGGGCTACACCAGACGTTGTATGGTGAAGAGTCTGGAAGGCAGCACCCAGCACAATGACTGCCGGCTTTCCCTCTTGGGAAATAGTTGGTCGATACCAGTGGTTGCGTATTTGCTGTATTCTCTGTTTAGGACCTTGGGCATGCTGCCGCAGTTGAGGTTGGCGAGCTTGGTTGAGAGATTGACACCAGGGCGAGAAAGCTACTTATCCAGTTTGTTGTTGAGACCACCTTTGAGGCAGACTACAAAGGCCGGACAGCAGGAAGGAGGCTTGGTGACGCGGCTGTTAGGACAGGTCTCGGTCAAGGGAGAGGACATTCTGTTGCAGCTGGGGAGTGATCTGCCAGCTCGATATCATCGTTTGCGGGCCTCGATCCCGAGCAAGTTGTGGCGCTGGAAGGATATTGCCGGATGGCGATGGACAGGAGATGTTGAACACATCAATGCTCTTGAGCTGCGGGCTGTCAAGACCGCGCTGGTGTGGCGGCTGAAAGAGCTCGAAGAGAGCTCCTGTCGTTTCTTGCATTTGATTGATTCCTTGGTCGTGCTGCACGCGTTGTCTCGAGGTCGGTCGTCCAGCCGGAGGTTGAGGAGGACTTTGTGTCGGATCGGAGCGCTTCAGTTGGCAGGTGGTTTAGTAGGAGTCTGGGGTTACGTGGATACCCACCAGAACCCCGCAGATCGGCCCTCGCGCCGACCACTACGGAAGAAATGGGGAAGAAAACCACGAAAGTGATGGAAGGAAAAAGCCAACAGGAGCGCAAGAAGGTCCGAAGTAAGCTTGGTTCTCTTAAAGGCCTCACCGTACAACCTCGTACTCGACAACGGTACACAGAATGTCTCAACCGTTTTTTTGACTGGATGGCAGGGGAGGGGCTTTCCCTCCCAAAGCAGCAAGTGCGTCTTGATTCTTTGGTTAGTGACTACCTGGAGCATCTATGGGCCTCTGGCGAAGGCAAGTCTATTGCGAATAATACCCTAGCAGCACTCCAAGACCGCGACCCTTCTCTCAAGAAGAAACTTCCAGGGAGCTGGAGGTTGCTGAAAGCATGGAGCACCGTAGAAATTCCCAACCGAGCACCACCCATGACTGTCCAAATTTTAGATGCCCTGTGCGGTTGGTCCGTGTTTCACGGGTGTCCTGAATTCGGGTTGTCTCTCCGAATTGCTTTTTATGGGCTTCTTCGAACTGGTGAACTCCTGAGCCTCAAGGCGAAAGACATTTTCATTCCCGGACCCACAGGGCCAGCGGTGCTTTCCCTTGGCCTCACTAAGGGAGGAGCGCGCCAAGGCGCGGCGGAAAGCGTTACTTTGCACGAACGCTCCATCCTCCCATCACTCTGGAAATGGAAACAATCCGTGGCTCCCTCAAAATTTTTAACTGTAAAGCCACATGCGTGGAGAGCGCTCTTCACCAAAGCCGTTGCTGCACTGCGTTTGGATGACCTTCACTTCAGACCTTACAGTCTGCGTCGGGGAGGCGCGACGTTCTGGTTTGGACACCACGGTTCGTTCGATAAATTGCTAGTGCAAGGGCGGTGGGCCGCCGCACGAACTGCCCGAGTGTATCTGAACGACGGACTCGCTCAGTTGGCAGATATGGCTCCGTCGAATTCATTTTTACTTCCTTATGTGAACTTATACCGCAAGAGCCCACTGCTTGAGCCTGGGTCGCCTCAAGGGCGTCCCAGGGCAGGGGGACGTGGAGCCAGGAAGGGCAAGTCGAAAGGTTTCGTTTTTTCGCGATTTTCAGGCGCGCGGGAGAATTTCTCGGAGTGGAGAAATCCAAGAAACCACCCTTTAAAGACTGGAGTGAGTCAGGGTATGGTTTCCCTCTCTGCAAAGTCTGAGCCTAGGGAGCATCGGGTTTGGCTGATGCTGCCCTAGGAGGTACAGGGGGG